CACTCATTCATCTCTAGCTTTATCACCTGTCATGTTGACGTTTTAATTTTAGATTTTCCTTTTTTAACTTTTTATCCTACTTTACAATTACTGTATATTAACATAATTTTGCGGTTATCATATTTTCGAACTTTCTTGGCAGACATCTTTCCGTTCAATGTTAATTGTATTAGCTGCAGTTTTTGTTCATTGTTATCCAGGACAATATATTGGGTGCTCAAAACATATATTGTAATTAACAACTGACATTTTACAGCGGTGTAAAATATTGGTGAGATTTATGTATTACATTAAACCATATGTGTTGTATCAGACGAGGTCAATACATCTATTATCAAAGTGCAACTATTAGATCAACGAATGATTAGAATCAGAGAATGAGAAGAAATTCCAAGTGAGGCAAGAATAGTGAAGAAAATTTAGTTTCTGATGCTAAAAATTGATTTAAATCAGTTAAATACCGCACAAAAATATACACACAATCTTCGCTGAACAGGTCATTGGTATAAAGCCTAGTCGCCATTCGTCAGACAGTTGGATCAATACAAATTGTACACACCTATCATTACAAATTTAACATACTGAACATGGGGTAAAAACCTAGTTTCCACCCTCTAGCTATTTCAATTGTGATATCTTTCTTGCTGTATTGACTTAAAGGCGAATCTATTTCGACCTTTGTGTGGATGTGCTCTCATTTGACCCACAGAGAATTTATTTCTGTGGGTGTGCCCTCCTTTGACCCACAGAGAATATATTTCAATACAAATATGTAAACGTTTGATACTACTAATTAAATCAATACTTTTCTTATGTAACTGTCTGGAAGCAATGAAATGACAATTCTAGTCTTTTACATCAAGTGTCTTTCCAACATAAATCAAGTGCTTTAGACTTATGTAAAGGATTTGATAAGTGATCACTGATACATTTTACAGGTATTTGAGATTAGGAAGGCTATGTAAGGTCAATAGAGGCGTGACTTTTAAGGCTGAAATGTTTAAATAAGGTTCGGATAATGTTTACATAAAGAGGGATGGTTATATAAAAGGGACGAATTGTAAGGAAATATATTTTTTATGATAAAACATAATAAATACACACGGTGTCGTGTAATTATGATTTTTTAACCACGTGACTCATTAAAAAGAGATATCAGAATCCGGTAGTCAACATTTTGGTAAAATGAAGAATAATTTCAAATGAAAAGAGCTCCTTAATATCCTTTAAATTGATCTAAAAACCTGTTTTACAAACCTGATTAAAGCATCATGTTTTAGGTTGAAGTATACGATTTAAGCTGGTACAACTGACTATTCTTTTTAGCAAGTTTTTTACCGTTTTATTTATAGTTTGGATCCGTCTCCGGAATTTTTAGTCGATTGAGCTACTTCCTGTTAGGACGCCTGGACCCTAGAGTACAATGTACAGGCTGCAGCACTGAGGAGAGCAGACATATCGTCGGCTTTCTCCCCTCGGACCTGAGGAATCCTCAGTTGTGATGTACGTTTATAACAGCATGCCAAACATCATTGAAAGTGACAACCACGTGTGATATTCTTAATAATACAGACACTGTTTCACTGGCATTAGCTCCGAGTAATTAATCTGCCTTTTCCTCTCCTTACATTCCATAACATTATTAGGTCATGTTTCAAAAATATGTCTTCCGCAGTTTTGCTAAAGAGTTCGTTACTTAATTTCGTAATTTTTGATCTACAGTTGACAAAATCGTTTCATTTGGAGATTTGATAAAACTGTTTTGCAATTTTTCATTTCTTGGTTGACCAGTTGACAAGTTCTAAAACGACACGGTCTAACACACAAAACGGCACGGTCTAACACACAAAACGACACGGTCTAACACACAAAACGACAAATTCTAACACACAAAACGACACAGTCTAACACACAAAACGACACGGTCTAACACACAAAACGACACGGTCTAAAACACAAAACGACACGGTCTTACACACAAAACGACACGGTCTTACACACAAAACGACACGGTCTAACACACAAAACGACACGGTCTGACACACAAAACGACACGGTCTAAAATACAAAACGACACGGTCTTACACACAAAACGACACAGTCTTACACACAAAACGACACGGTCTAACACACAAAACGAGATAGTCTAACACACAAATCATATACTTTCATTTCATTCGATATAAAAACAAAAACAACTAACGAGTTGGTTTCATCGACCTTTCCTTCCAATGGCGTTTATCGAATTTGTGAAAATTTGAGCTAACGTTTCAGTCTAGAATATAAAAGATAAGAAAATTGGTCACGAATTCTAACACAGTAAATATGATGTTAAGTTCAGAATTAATAACTGTTGTCTTAGTTTATAAGAATAAATTAAAAACATTACCTTTTCCTTTGTATATGGTTATTCAAGGAAGAAATAATTAGTGTTTTGTTTTTTCATAATTTTGTGCCTTGTTTAGTGTTGTTTACTAAAGTAGGAATAAAGAAATGTTTAATATTTTGCTACACTTCAATAAGAAAGCATAAATTTCCATTAAAAGATCGAAATGTGCGACTGATTATAAGTCCTTGGCGATGATTAGAAGTAAAGCGAACATTTTTCTACCCATGGAACTTCCAAAGAATTCAAAATTATCTGTTTTATATATATATATATATATATGCACTGTTGCCAAACGTCATCTTCCCTGTCTTACCTTCGATAGTGACGAAAAGCAATTAATTACGTATAAACTTTAAAAGTATATCTTTTCATGGGGCTCATTTTTCAGCTTTTTTCTTCAAAAAAGAAAAAGAGAAAAAACAAAAAACTATTCCATGAATAATTGATTTCATAGATAACTGTAGCTCAATAGACCTACTTATACTATGTTAACAGATTTGGGACAGAGAAATTATTGGATGAAGCGTACCCGCGGAATCAACCAAAAAAGTACGCGATTTAAAAAATTACAGTATGTAAAACGGATCATATAAATAAATATTATTATTATTATATTTATTAATATTACTATTAAATGAAAAGAAACATTGTGAATTTATGTTATGTAATTGAAACCGTTGTCTAAATATATACCTCTCACGGGAGAAATCAACGAAATAGCAGTAATATCTCACAGCAAGAAAACATCTGTGTTCATTCTGAAACACTTGAAAGTACTGTCTGTCTATCATTTATAAATTACAAGTTGGCCCCTATATATAACAGTAACTCTACATATTGACCATATCACCGTGTCGTTCCGCCAAGGTAATATAGCCCCGCCGGAAAAGTTAATAGTACTCCGCTTACTCCTAAATTGAATGGATACACGTCTCGATGTTCATGACCTCTCGTGTTAAAGAGGATTGAGGTCATTAGTCAGACATTCTTGGTGAATCCCGATACTTGTAACCACAAACACGCGAATTCCACATCTGTAACCAGCAATTGAGCTATTTTTGTTTTTCAGGAGGTTCGTTTTAATGGTCTTTTACTTTTCATTTTTTTATTTTGAATGTAAAACCCCATTAAATTGCCAAAAATCTGCTTGAGCTATCTTTAATAACTTGATGTGTTTTGTCAAATGAGGCACTGGTAATTGAAAATGGCGAACACTGACTGGGTCTGTTCACGACTTGATGGGGTGTTCCAACTTAGTCTAAACATCAATCCGCACAGCACCAGATAACTGTTTATATTAACTGTCTGTCTATAAAGACCAACATTTCTATAAATGTTCTTTGTCTATAAATAGTATCCTTAATGCCTAATTGACGGTGTGCTCTGGAAGTGATACCTTTTATACATAGGTGGCGCTTTAATACACAAAACGTAGGTGGCAATGCCTGTCAGATAAAAGGAATGGTATACTGTATGTGACGATATAATTTACACATAGGTAGCCTGACTACAAACAAGATACATCCAGGGATTATCACGTAGCAATATGTTCTATGTGATAACACGCTGAAATGATATATCATGCGGCCCATGCTATATATACAATGTATATCGGACATAAATCTATGTGAGGAATCAAAGAATTTCAATCGCGTGCATAACAGAAGCATTTCTGATATCACGTTTACAAATTTCTACACGAGAATATCTAAAAATAATACGTAAATTGCATATATTGACAAGAATCCATTACCGAATTCCGTATCAGAATGTTTCGGCATACATCATTTTCAGACACCGGCACTTAATATCAGATTCAATGTTTATAAAACAGATTCAACATTGAAAAGACGAGTAGTTATTATGAAATATATATTACATTTAAGATAAAATATTTCAAATATTTTTGTCATTTTTGCCATAATCGTATTTGTTAAACTTTATAGCTGGCACATAACATCACGAATTATAATGTTCGCTCATCAAAACACAGGTGTAATATTTACAGGTGTGCATTCGGCTAAGTGTAGGTAACTGCTCTCTAACATAGACACGAATCCTGTAGGAACAACGTGCGTTTAAACAATACACAGTAGCAGCAGAGCGTATGTATTATGACAGATACAACATACGTAATACTGTACTGCCTTCACGGAACAAAATCTCCAAAAATGTGAGACGAGAGGGCCCTCTCCCTCCCAACCTAGGCAACCAATTGAACACCAGTTTAAGGAGTCATCACTCTGAAGATCGCGATGTTTGTTAAGAAAATCGACTGAGACGACTGAGACAACTTCTTAAGTTGTTTACGAAATTCCTCTCAATGAAGTTATCGGACGAGTTTGAAGTGGCACAGTTTCTAAATATAGGCATAGAACTACCCTCCCACGCTTGTACAACCACTTGCACAACTTATGATTGGTTGAGGCGATTTTGATTGACTTGCTAGAGAAACCACGCCCCCACTCAACAAGTTTAAGTTTAGTAGTAAAAATGTCCTACGTACATATAAGCCTGTTCTGTGACATCTCTTTGCCAGTGTGTCCTTAGCTGCTACCGTGTATTGAACCTTAAGCACGATTACTTCTGTCTCTCGCTGCTGACACAATAATCGGTGTTTTCTGTTCACCTGCGGATAATCTATTTTACATCTACATCTTCATTCATGATGGATACTAAATTCTTTTTCCTCATTTCTATTTTTGGAGCCTGTTTTGTGGTAGGTTTTGTTTTATTTTAGATATCTATTTTGACTTATCACTAATGTGTCTTTATCATAACACATCGATAGAAATGTTGATAAAGTATTTTTCATAACCATGTCTTAATAACAATAACTCTAAAGAGGTGTTTTGTTTTATTTTCATAATAACGATAATAGTACTCAAAGTCATCAAAACAACATGGATAAATAGCTTTGTACTTATCTTCTCTGCTGCGGTAAATGTCAATGCTGTAATGTAAAGCATCGGTAGCTTTAAGCCAGAGAATAGAGAAAAATCAAATGGGGAGATTTCCACTTATTTTAAAGCTATTTCTTGAATATTTTGATTGTGTGTTTACATTTAACTTATAAAGTTGCGTATAAATAGCCTTATAGCTGAAATGTAGTTAATCCCAACTGCTTCGAAATTCGACCCTCACCGTTGGTTGTTCGAACGACATCGCTTGGGTTGTATCATACATATCTGTAACGCTACACATTCCGGATTCCTGTACTCTACTGTTTCCTCAAACCGGATTTTTTCAATGCTTTGATGTTAGATGAATTCGCAAATATAGCTTACTTCAATATACTGCCAACGTTTACTTCATGTTTACGCGGAATAGGTGAATCAGATATTTATATTCGCAGTTTTGAGAATATTAGGTAGAAGTTTAGAATCAATCACATTCAATCGCAATGAAGAGGGTTTCAACCATGACTGTAAAATTTGCCAGCAAATCCCATTTTTAAAGAAACGCTCTGTAAAAATATTTAAAAAACAAAAACAAAAACAGAAAGAAGCAATTACGGCTGTGTAATGTGAAGCCACACTATAATTAACGCTGTTTTTTTTCATTTTTGCTTACAGCATTCACAGTATCTATCGCCCGGTGGTAAGTAACTTAAATGTCAGTTTCATTGTAAACGGCTGTCAGGTTGTGTCGATTTCACTGTGACAAGCTGGTTGTAGAATGGTAGAGCTGGGTCAGCCTGCGCCCCACTGCCACAGTTTGTTTTCTGATACACCATGATAATTGTATCAGCATTTTCTGAGCTTGCTTACAGTCGTTGGTGTTCAGGCTGTGATATTAGATATAACACGATCTTTTCTTTGGTCGATATTTTGGAGTTTATTTATTTGTCTCTCATCATTATCATTCATGTTCAGTCAGCGCTCGGATACGATCAAAGCGCCATTAAGTATATATACCCTAAATCTCGAATAAAAGAGGCGCTTTTTTCTTTGATAGTGAACCAACGCATGTCAGTTTAGTACATTGTATTAAAATACAGGCTTATTTTCGGGTTTTTAAGGTGTCATGTTCTTTCTTACTCTGATTAAAATATCTGAAGTTTCATAGTCGAAATCAAAGCTGACAAGATTTACCATATATGGTAAACATCATATTTACCTTGATTATACACCGATTTTATTGTTATGTTTGTTTATTTTTGTTGTGTTTGATTTATTGTCGTGCAATGGGAATAAATTCTACAGAAACAGTAACTTGTAAAGCAATGCACTGATATCATCATGATATCGTGAAATAATTCCTCGATCTCTTTAACAATATGTTTTGCTACATTTTCACTAACGAAAAAAACATTGGTTTGTAATTGTGTACGAAGGAGAGTTTGATTTTTGTGACTGGTGTCATTTGTTAATCTTCACTTACATCCATGAAACATGTTATAACGACAAAATGCAATTAACATATCGTTTTAGTAATGAAGCGTGCTATATATGTGTTCATGGTTCATAGAAGTTCGTCTGCATAGCAGACAGTCTCTCCATTGTACCTCTGAGACGTACCATGTCGGCGATCAAAAACTCATTAGTAAGATAACATTAGGTCTGTGTTTGTACATTCATAGCATCGTCCTTGTAATCTGTGTTTTTAATGTCATCCTCTGGGTGTTAGTTTACCGTCGATCCAAATGGACAGATTTCTGAACTTGTTAACTTCGTACAGCTTCAATGTACGCAATTTTTACTATGTCAATGAAATCATTTTTACCGCAATCAGAGGTTCTGACCAGAAGTAAAATAATGTTTGATAAATCTGGATTTATGTACATTTATTCTTTTTGTCTCTGTTTCTCGCTAAGTCTCCGTTTAAATATCCAGCCGATATCCCATACTTGTAATTCCTGTACATATGTATAAGCCATATTCAAAATCAGATCAGTGTCTGAACGAGTACATGACATGAATTTCATATTTAGCAATTGCCGTTTGCCGTTTTATTCTTCCAAACGACGTCTGCCTCAGCGAAAATCGCGATCTACATTTAAATATTTCATTTAACCATGAATTTTGATAGAAATGCAGTTAGTACATGTCTAAAGGGAAGAAAACTGCGCCACAATGCATAAACCTAGCAAGGTTTTGTAATGTCACAATACGCTTCTCACCAGTGCCTGCCTCCCTAGTTACAGGTAACAGACAGCTATTTGTAAAACACGTTAATGTTTTCCTCAATCTTTGCTACCGTTTTACGGTAACTTGTAAATAATGCTTCGTGCTTGATAGATAAGTATACCAGCGTAAGTGAATATCATATGTATTAATAAGGATCTCACGCTCTATCAAACTGCCACACCGAGGTACATTTGAGATTTCGGCTTGGTTACCGTCGCGATTACAATGAAAGGGATAATTACTTTACAAATAAGCAATGAAAGAATACCTTGGGTGACCATAATTTCCAGCATGTTGGATAAGAAATAAAAGTGAAAATATCAGACGGTCATGGTTCTGATTCATTGTGTGGATGTAGTTGTAATATGTATACGAGGTGTTTAGATAAACAATTTCAATAACTTGTTACCATGAAGTAAGTAATTAACGGGTCAATACGTAATCGATCGCATTACAATATCAGAAATCGATCAGTCATTTTGTTTTCCTTAACAACCACGATAGACACGTGACATCAATGTTTTCCACGACACTTGATATCATTGGTGTCTATAAATAGATCAATTGTTCATGGTGAAGCAGTAACGTCACAATTGTGAAAGTAATCAAATATATTTCATGATAACAAATTTAAAAGCCTATATAAAAACTATGAAGTTTGCCCAGGTTCAGGCACCAGTGAGTGGACCGCAGCAATTCTTCTTTGTGTTTAGGGTTCAATTCCCAGAACGGATGTAGTGAGGGATGCGATCGTCTATCCGGCACCTGGGATTTCTCAGGGTACCCTGGTTTTTCTTCCAAGAGTAATACCCCTCGCGCGCTTACATTCCAGCCAACAAATTTGATTGATATAAATTAGAAAAAAGTTGTTTGAATTGTTGTTGTTTGATTGAATGTGGAGCTAGAGACTCAACAACAACAACAACAACAACAACAACAACAACAACAACAACAACAACAACAACAGTAAAGGTACTCTGTCTTTTATTTGCCTCAATCTCATTTTGTTACTCCCTGTTTCTTGAATCTCATTTGTACAGAAAAAATATAACTTTCTTTCAATGTCTTGAACTTTTCTCATTCTTGACAGAAGTGGGGGAGTATATAATAAAGAACAACTTTATAGTGATAATTAAGAAAACTGGTATCTAGATTACACTGTATCTGGACTTCTGCGCTGAATTACCTCCCTTAACACGAATTTCCTTCGCTAGTTATTTATTGTCTTGGAGTAGGAGTTATTGTTTTGCATATCGAAAATAAGATACCTCTATTTTACCAGTTTATCCATTAACGAGAATCAAATGTCCATAGTTCATGACTCTGACTAAACATTCTCAATACATAGCTTTATATCGACGAGCCTAATCTATTCCTAGTGGCTTATTCATAAACTTCTCGACACTTGACAACATGCTGCACTGTAAAAGATAGCGCGAGGCACTTACTGTAAGTAATTAGTAAGTGACTTGTTGAGCGTGGGCGGTATATAGGCAGACTTATGTAATGTTTCACACTACTGAGTATATATTATGTGAGGTAGGAATCCCTAGTTTAACTTAAAGTCCAATATGATTCATAGTACTTCATCTTTTTTTCTTCTTTATAACAGAGATATTTGATGAGAAAAGGTCTCATGTTGTCAGCAAGGAAATAGTGAATGACGCAACCCAATAATAATATATTCTTATACACGAGTTCCTACGACGCTACCGTCGTTGAATCTCATTATCAATATATATATATATATATTCTAAACCGTAAAGAAAATAGTTCTTAAGCTTTCAATAGACAAGGACAAGGTCGGTCTCGCTCACATCAACACACGGTAAAAGGACATAATTTACCTATACAATTAAAAATGTCGTGCGGTCGCTTTACATGGATCATTCACCTCAATACAAACATATTGAGACGTAAATAGAATAAAAGTATACTGCATGCTATTGAAATAACTTCAAATCACTTATTTTTCGTCAGTTAGACCTAAAAATAGTAAATTGTGATAAATAATTATAAATCTCGTGAAATAAAAAATCCTTTAGCTATTGAATTGATTTTGACGTCGGATGAGTCGTACATGGCGGGTGTCGTTGATGAAGCAGAATACGCTTTCTCTTCCGTAACACCTGGTCGTATCCCCCTAGTATTTTCTCGAGAGCTTTCGCGTAAATCTTTCTTTTGTTCATATTCTGCCCTTAATGACAGTTGAGTTTGGATTATGACATGTTGGTATTTTCTTGATGTTGTAATAGATCGTCTTGTGATGCGTGATTTCCATGAGTCTCATTTACATCGATCATATGTGCTAAAACAAACCGAGCTAAAATGATAAATATGATATTGAACTTTCGTTGAAAAAATATCTGACTTTTTGTTCACTAAACGATTTTATCATGAGTACATGCCTACGTTTTTAAATCGAGAAAAAAGTTAAACTACTTAGTGCGTCTTAGCAAAATCAGTTTGGGCCTACATCAATGAGTGATAGAGGAATGAATGTTGATGAAATCTGTCCACGGTTAAATATGATATTCTCTATCTTATGAACGCCACTTTGAACATATTGTCATTAAGCTATGCACTAATTGAAATAGATATGTCGTGAAATATATCATTTACAGGTATATGAACGTATTTAGGTTAAATATATCTATTGGTTATTTGACAACAAAATAATGATATCTGTGATCAAATGGTGCCGCGATATCTATCGTGTTAGGAGGAACTGTTGAGAGTATCAGGTGACAGACTGTCAGATATGATGTATCTTTCAATATCAAATAGAAGATGATGATATATCAATGTAAAAGGATGAGAGGAGATTATCTGACCGATGGTCACGCCTGTCAACCATACGAGCTTTATCATTAAATGATCAAATATAAAATGAAACTTTTCATTGTGTCATGAATAAAGGCACGTCATCCCTCCTTATTTGGAAGTCCGCCCATATTTGGTCGCGATTATCAATTACTTAGGTCAGCATAAACTACAAATGTGTGTCTCTTTGAAAAAAATCTTCGTATGATATGAAGCGGGTCGTGTTTGATGCTCGTTAGTTTGTATGTTGGTTCCGTTGTGTGATATGAAGCTGGTCGTGTTTGATGCTCGTTAGTTTGTCTGTTGGTTCCGTTGTGTGATATGAAGCTAGTCGTGTTTGATGCTCGTTAGTTTGTCTGTTGGTTCCGTTGTGTGATATGAAGTTGGTCGTGTTTGATGCTCGTTAGTTTGTCTGTTGGTTCCGTTGTGTGATATGAAGCTGGTCGTGTTTGATGCTCGTTAGTTTGACTGTTGGTTCCGTTGCGTGATATGAAGCTGGTCGTGTTTGATGCTCGTTAGTTTGACTGTTGGTTCCGTTGCGTGATATGAAGCTAGTCGTGTTTCATGCTCGTTAGTTTGTCTGTTGGTTCCGTTGTGTGAAAAAAAGCTAGTCGTGTTTGATGCTCGTTAGTTTGTCTGTTGGCTCCGTTGTGTGATATGAAGCTGGTCGTGTTTGATGCTCGTTAGTTTGTCTGTTGGTTCCGTTGTGTGATATGAATCTGGACGTGTTTGATGCACGTTGATTTGTCTGTTGGTTCCGTTGTTGTATACCCTGTTCTCATTTAAGAATATCTCATTAATTGCTTGGATTGATGACGGTTTACATGGCGGGTGTCGTCGATGAAGAAGATGACACTTACTATTCCGGAACACGTGGTCTTATTCTTTCTTTGTACTTTTTCAAGAGTTTCCGTGTAAAATCTTCCTTTTGTTCATATGTACCTTAGTTTCATGGAATTGGATTATGATAATGTTTACATATGGTGATTTTCTTCTGCTATTAATGGTTTGGCAGTTATATACATCTACAGTTCTGCACTCTTCTACGTACTTTTAATTTCTTAATTGCACTGTGTCAGATATGTATATATTGTGTCCGTCTTACAAATTCATTTGTTTGATAATTTGTTGATAACGTGTCTGCTCTGTTGAAATGGCATCTGTCTTTCTTTATGTTTATTAACTTATTGATGTTGTGTCTGTCACGTACGTCCGTATCTCTCACATCATGTTTCCCTTTCAGCCGTGGAGTACTACTGCGGGAACAAACCAGCAGATGTTGCCTTCCTTATCGATTCATCCAATAGTATATGGGGCCCTGACTTTCACAAACAGGTCAACTTCATCAACGAGGTCGTCGATATGTTCCAAATCGGTCAAAATAGAACAAGAATCTCTCTTGCTACATACAGCACTAACGTCCACGTGGAATTTCACCTAAACGAAAATTATGAGCGACAATCCCTACGACAAGCTCTGTCTGGCGTCCGCCAGAGAAGGGGCTTCATCACAAACACTAAATTAGCCATCTGGACCATGAGGAAAAAGATGTTTAGTGAACACAACGGCGCAAGACCCGGAGTGGTCAAGGTGGCTGTAGTACTGACCGATGGTCAATCTAACAGTGTTATCCGGACTGTCTGGGAAGCGATGAAAGCTCGTCGAGAGGGAATCCATATGTTTGCTATTGGAATCGGTGCCTATATTAACAGGCGGGAATTGAGAGGAATAGCAAGCAAGCCTGTCAACGATTATATGTTTGAAGTGAGCAATTTTGGAGCACTCGAATCCATCAAGAACATTCTGGCTATTAAAACATGCGTTGGTAGGTATCGAAAATTGGAGAATGAAATTTTCAGATATCACGTGATAACTACAGAGTTACACCCTTTACATAATTCGATGTGTTTCATTTAATCGTATTTAAACATTTAAAAAATTAATTAAGGCAACAAAAATGACCAAAACAAATTACGTTAATACGAAATGTACAAAACAAATAGATAAATAAATCTAGATTGACTACTTTGAATTTATCTCTATTACAATGATGATGTAAGTTAGTATTGGGTCAATTTTCCGCCGTCAAATTATTTAAGCTGTTGAGCTGGTGACACTAAGTTACGACAGTTCGGCTATTCATTTATATGTAATGTCAATATATGCATGCATTCGTTTCAAATTCCTGGACGTACATTTTAACAGGTAAATGTATACAATACAGCACATGACATATAGTCATCCTTACTTAGGGACATAGCCGGAAGTTAAATTCCACGATGTTAATCAGACACATATACAATACAACACCCTATCCTCAATATACCACGTCACTCGGCCATATTAATGCTTAAAACATGTGACCTTGGGTGCATAACTTCATTTGCAATTAAAAGTAGCTTTAAATAATCACGTTTGCAGGTGTCGGACAGGAAACATCGTTTAAAAAGGACAGCTTCCTCCTCTAGGAAAACATTTGTACAATATGGAAACATCCCTAACATGGGCTTAATGAGCCACTCAAAGAAATTCTTCCCAGTTTATGAGACAATACCCAATTTTATCTGTGATACAGTCTCCTAGTAAATTCATCCCAGAGAAGGAGACAATTTTATCTGTGATACAGTCTCCTAGTAAATTCATCCCAGAGAAGGAGACAATTTTATCTGTGATACAGTCTCCTAGTAAATTCATCCCAGAGAAGGAGACAATTTTATCTGTGATACAGTCTCCTAGTAAATTCATCCCACAGAAGGAGACAATTTTATCTGTGATACAGTCTCCTAGTAAATTCATCCCAGAGAAGGAGACAATTTTATCTGTGATACAGTCTCCTAGTAAATTCATCCCAGAGAAGGAGACAATTTTATCTGTGATACAGTCTCCTAGTAAATTCATCCCAGAGAAGGAGACAATTTTATCTGTGATACAGTCTCCTAGTAAATTCATCCCAGAGAAGGAGACAATTTTATCTGTGATACAGTCTCCTAGTAAATTCATCCCACAGAAGGAGACAATTTTATCTGTGATACAGTCTCCTAGTAAATTCATCCCAGAGAAGGAGACAATTTTATCTGTGATACAGTCTCCTAGTAAATTCATCCCAGAGAAGGAGACAATTTTATCTGTGATACAGTCTCCTAGTAAATTCATCCCACAGAAGGAGACAATTTTATCTGTGATACAGTCTCCTAGTAAATTCATCCCAGAAAAGGAGACAATTTTATCTGTGATACAGTCTCCTAGTCCCAGAGAAGGAGACAAATTACAGTCTCCAGAAAAAGGAGACAATTTTATCTGTGATACAGTCTCCTAGTAAATTCATCCCAGAGAAGGAGACAATTTTATCTGTGATACAGTCTCCTAGTAAATTCATCCCACAGAAGGAGACAATTTTATCTGTGATACATCTCCTAGTAAATTCAGTCTATTTAATCAATGTTCCTAACACTTATCGATAATGTATTCCTTGTACATTTTTTTATCGCGTTATTACTCCATAACAGAAAAACTAGACGATATTTTATAACGTCACGTCTGATTGTAGGAATTTATCAAAGAGTCCAAAATAAATATAACAAATATTGCAGCCTATGATTAAATATCAGGATTAACTGTTAATTTTGAGTTAAACTAAGATTAATCCTGAAATAATAGCCAATTTAACCTTCCATGTGTTGTAATCCTGGCAATAAAACAGACTATAAGAAATCGGTAATTCCTGTTTTGGGTTTTTATTGTCTGGCCTAAAAACAATCATTAATCCTCAAAATCCTTGCATAGTGTAATTTTACAATACATCGCTACAATACTGCTGCTCGTTTCCTGTTATACATAAACCACAACATTTAGAGTACACGTCTGTAAAAATAAGGTGATCTTACGTTAATCCTTTAATGTTTGTCGCCACGCAATGCTATTTATCCCCGGCTGGTAAATCTCCTTCAAGCTCAATCTTTTATAGAAAACTCGGACAGAATCTGGTTGATATCTTGCTGGATATCCATAAAGTAAACATTTAACCTTACCTGTCGTTACCTGGTTCTCCGGTAAACAATGACATACCTTTACATCACAGGTAGAAAACCATTATAGGTTGTTACTTACAAAGCGCTTAGTCACTTTGTTGGTATTATAAGGACATAACACGACATTTAAATGAAGTGCCACCCCACTACAAACAGATGTTGATGAAACTGATCCCTGTATGTCGTTTCTGTTTGTACCCGAATGTAACATTACCCTAAAAGTCAATTATCACCATAGTAACTTCAGTCTTGGTGTCTGCGTGATCTATCGAAACACTAGTCTTCATAACAAAAAATAATCATCTGATATAATGTTATCTAAGACATTTTAATACCTAATATCATATTGTGACAAATGAAAGTTTTATATTGTTGTTGGTGATCACACTGGCATCCCCTTTCACAATCATTATCATTTCTACAGCCGTAACATGTCTAAGATAGCAGACAAACGTTGCATGGTCTTTTTTACTTTCTGCTTATGATAAGTGGTTTTTTGTTCATTTCTATTGTAAAGTTGATTTTAAAACATGTCATGTTTTGCGGTATTGATATGTTAGCGCTTAAATTTACTAAAGCTTCAGAATGATAACAACTTAACAGATTCGAGTTAGCATTGATTGACAAATTGCGAGAAACCGATTATTTTCTGAATCACATCAAATATTGATTTTGGCAAAAGGAATGGAAATGCATGAATAAAATCGCGTTTATTTTCGAGCGATTGATGAAATTTTGTCGACGATAGCTATGCATGAATATGTTTATATTGTCTATCGTCGTCGATGTTTCAGTAACCCCTCGTCCAACGACCACACGTCGGCCGACGACCACGACGACAACCACCCCTATGCCGACCACAACCAGTAAGTACCACGTGACCTTTATATATCGTGTTGATCTGCATCATTCAGCTAATAATAAGATAATCAGTAGTGTGTTTAATCAGGTCATCAAGTTTCTCCACATGGCGCCCAATTTTTATCTGATATCAATAGTGCTTTAGAGGCTTCATGTTGCTGGTAGATGATAGTAAGATAATTGCTCTCAAGATTTGCTGCTACTGTTTTTCGGTGAATCAGAGAAACTCGCAAAAATTATTAGTTTGGAATAACTTAGCCTACCCATGACTCAGATTCGTAAATGTTCATTCTCTACGGCTTTCGTTTGTGACGGAGCGTGGAAGGAATGCCTGCAACCTTACGGTACATCTGATAACTGATGGCACACAAGTCATCTCCTTAATGTATAAATCATTATGTAGACAAGGGTTCCAACGGCAGGTCACATGCAGTATCTCTTAATGCATGTTCTGTGTATACACAGGTAAATACGAGAGCCGAACTCACTAGAGCGTTCTTTTATGATAATTGTGTAATGAAACTCACGTGCATTAGTAACAATATCAAAATAACAGATTCTTTTAGCAGTTTTTAATTTTTTTATCCAGTGTCAGTCTGCAGACGGTAAATTACACATAGGAATTTATAATGGTAATAAGTGTAAAGTTACAGTGCATACGGCACTGCACAATCATTTGCAGATGTTAATTGTTGTTACATAAAGTGCTGTTTAGTGTTGTGGTATTGCGACGTTTCTAGAATCTAAGTGGAAAGGCATACGACTTCTGGTTTTCCCTTTGGTGTCTATACATTGAAGATGTATGGGGCTTTTGTGCTTTTCTGCATCACATATGATTCAACCACAAATTTTACCACAACTTCCTGTGGACAAACGAGAAAGAGTAATCATCTAGACAAATCTTCGTCTGAGAGATCACTTAGAAATGTTATCGAGTTTTCTGAGTAAGCAACATGCGGACTTTAAGAGAGAAAAAGGAGAACAGAAAACCTGGTCTCTAGGTTTGTATGTGCGATCACTATATGAACTCACAAACACTTAGGTTCGCTTCCAATTTTTTTCTAATTTTTATTTTGCCTCAGTCTATGTGATGGGGGTTTGATATTACCTGACTTTCCAATTCTATATCGTCCCGTCCTATCATTAATTAATGTCACCACTTAAGCGATTTTATTTATTAAAATATTTGGATCAAAGTGTCTGTGAATGTCAACTATGACAACATCTTGTCTTGTATAAGGTCGAAGGTCAAGTTCAAAGTCAAGATCAAGGCCATCAATACTGCATATAGGATATTGACAGGTATTGATATGCATGCGACAAGGAGCCTCACATTTTATAGCTTCCTCGCTTTTCCGATGTTTATTCTCTTTTCATACAATTTCATACCATATTTTTCACAATAATTAAAGTGTATGTAGAAAGAAACAATATGTTTACTTCACAGCCACGACGCCCACTACAACAACGACCACGCCCACTACTACTACCACGTCCATGTTCGAATTGGCTCGTAGTGGTAAGTAATGTGAAAATTCAATGATTCTTTAGCTCAAGGCCTCTGTATCTTCAACTTGAAAGTCGGATTAACTCACAATACGGAAAATCCAATTTTAGGAGATTCTGATGTAGTTGACTTCTACTTTTGTTCATAGCCTTGGTATCTTATTTGTTGTTTTTAAATTAAAATTTTTATTTCTTATTTAACTCAGGTGTGACAACATATTCACGTAAATTCGTCATTTTAAAGTAAACTGAAGATAATTAAAATTTCATGTAATTTCGCTAAAATATTGAATAGACAAGATATGTTTATGGATAAAGCCTGAGTAATTCGTGAAACTGCACAAAAACAGACACCACTCCAACTGTTTGATATCACACTCACACAGACGAGGCTTAAGTCACCCTAGACAATAATGAATATTTCATACGTTATTAAGAAGTTTGTGAAGGGGTTTCAGTCTCTTAAGCGGAAACTAGAACGGCCGTGTTGCATAACATTTATTCTTCCTTTCAATTCATTATGTCAATATGTCGAATAACTACTTGGTAAACAAACCTGACGCTTGTTCTGAATTTTACATCGCTTCGAAAATATATCAGTGTTGGGGGGGGGGGGGGGGGGGTCGTATTCCTACTTTTTCAAAATCATTTGGAAAGCAAAATATTACCCGTGATCTTGTATTGATTTTCAGTGTGTTCGGATAGACAGACAGACATCGTGTTTGCCTTTGATTCTTCCAACAATGTTCGGACTAACGAATTTTATCAGCAAGTTGACTTTGCAAAGAAAATGATTGAGCTGATGTCCATTTCCGCTGAAACAACTCGAGTCGCTTCATTTCTATATAGCGACCAAATTCAACGCATATTTGAACTCGATGATTTTGACAATGCAGACAGCATGAAAGAATCTTTAAATAAAGTGAGTAAATCCGCAGGACGATCTCGAATGAGCGAGGCGATCAGATATGTCCGAACAAAGACTTTCCGAAGGAGTGTGGCCAGAGACGACGCCTCCCAGGTAGCAATTATAATAACCGGAAGTCCGGCGATGTATCTCCACCGAACCAAGGTCGAGGCTTCCAAAGCACGCGAGGCTGGAATCACTCTGATTCCTATAGGCATCGGCGATGTCAACATTGACGAACTTAGAGCTATATCTGGTGCACAAGGAGATGGACTTTACTATGAACTTCCTTCCTTCAATGACATCGGAAGTGTTCTAGCCCAACTCGCCATCCAGTCCTGCCAAGGTAAAACAAACTTCTCATATAAAACTCATTTGTGTTAAAGACCGTCATCATTACATTGCGAATATAATTCGACGACCGAACGCGAACCAAATACTGAATTAAATCGTGTCGCAATTCTACAATTTACAAACTCGCTTTTCCAACACCATTTAAGTGTTGGAAATATATGTCGTTGATTACTTAACTTCCTTTCACACAAACTGTTTGTGATCTTTTCTGTCGGTAAGATATAATTATTGGTTTGCTTTGATGTATTTTCAATAACATTGTTCAAGTGATATTTGAATTCACACGAACAACTAGGTTATCTACATACCGATACGAAAATGTATGCTAGTGCTGAAATAACTTGAAAGTTTATATAGGCTAGTTACCGTAATGAAAACAAAATCAGAAAAGTAGTTTTAGCATTGTAGCGACTTTATCAGTCGGCACATTCCCCATTTTGAATTATATCTAAGACAACTATGGACAATGGACAACAATGATATTATTCTATTTTTGCTTTTTAGTGCCCGAGCCAGTCATCTCCATATCAGATCAATGTAAGTACATAAAGATAAAAAAAATCATTTAGTGGGGTTTCAGCAGTTTGTTGAATATGATGCACAATATCATCAAATGTCTTCCTTCTGTCGTATTTATTGTTTCAATTTAAATAACAAAATAATTATTGTCCTTTTTTCAGCATGTGGGTCACGTCAGGCAGCGGATCTCATGTTCATTCTGGATAGCATGAACGCTGGAAAGAAAAACACGAAACGCGCTCTTGCCTTTATCCGCTCACTGATTAGTGAAATAGACATTGACACAGACAAGATTCAGGTCGGTCTGATGTCAGCCGAATGCCAGGACGACGAGACAGGATTCGCTCTTGGTGAAAGGCAGCAGAAGGACGGTGTGTTGGAATCTTTATCAAACATACGTGGAACAGATATTTCACAAATCCTGAAGCAAATGCGACGCGGGGCTTTCAGCCCTGACAACGGAGGACGAAAAGATGTCCGCAAAATTGCGGTACTGATCATCGACGGAAAACTGGAAGAGCCCATCCGAGCATTAACTGAAGCACAGCGCGCAAGAATACATGGGATTGAAGTGTTCGTAATACAGGTCGGGGAGGATGAAGAATCATCAACGGAAGCTAGGATGATGAGTGATGCACCGACCACACAACACTATTTCCAAGTGCCTGATTACGCAGCACTGATGGAATTAAAAGATGCTTTTTGGGCAGCTCTTTGTGATGGTGAGTATGCACATATTCTTTAGAATATATATTCAATTATCTATCATAACTGACTGACAAACTCATAACAGAGGCCTTCAAGATATGCATGTTGATAAGAATTATGGGAAAGGTTAGGGTTAGGAAATACTCAAGTTATTTGTACGATATGAAGCTGGACTTGATTGATGCTAGTTAGTGTATATCTTTGTTTCGTCGTTATCATTTAAGAACGTGACATTACCTACTTGGATTGACCAAGGTTTACATGGCGGGTTTCGTCGATGAAGCAGAAAATGCTTACTCTTCAGGAACATCTAGTGTTGCTCTCCTAGTACTTTTTCTGGAGCCGCCTTGTAAATCTGTCTTTTGTTCCTGTTTTGCCTATTTTCTTTTTTATCGAACTCGAGTTTGGAGTCTGTTTACATGTTGGTATTTTCTAGTGTATTTGTACACAACTCGTATATAACTATATAATAGCTGATATTTTCCTTGAATTTTAAGTTTATAGACTGACATTCAGTCATACTATAGTGTAAATCGTTTCTATAAATTGTGTTTTCATAAACAAATGCAGTGCATACGTCCACAACCTTTATCTTATATATTCTTTTTTAACTCTCATATTTTTCATTTTTTCAAAAATTGCATGATATACTACCAACTTACAACATCATCTGATAACTTTTATAGTGTTAATAAATTAACCAGGGTTTGTTATACCTTCTTCAAAGTGATAAATGTTTCTGAACGTCAAGGAAGATTTCGTGATAAATCATAGTAAGCTAACATAAATTCCCAACTCTATCCAGTCTACAGCCTGTAAGCAGAACGCATTAGTTATCTGAGAATGTAAATAGAATTCTTCGTTTACAAATTTACGATTTTTCGCTCAATTAAGTCTAATTTATTTGACACGGTTTGTCGTTTACGTGTTTTAGTAGTAACTCGAAACGTGCGATATCTCTCGTGCACGTATGTGTTTTTATGTCATGTTCAAAGTTGTTTTCAAAATGCGCTGAACAGGCAAAACATGCATCTCCAATGCGATAAACACGCGCAATTTAACAATATCCTAGTGTACATTCATTGATAACAGTAATCAGTTAAAAAGGTATCAAGGCCACGTAAGCTTTAATGTTTTCATTTGAAACAGCATCCATTTCATAACGCCATGATTGGACAGTAATATTTGAAATTTCAAGACAGGAAATACTATGAAATAAACCTCTTTTACTGAGAAGAAAGAAACTTGATAGAAATGTAATTACCATTAATGTCAGCATGATAAAAATGCCATTGCTATTTTATTTTTATTTTTTTATTTATCTATTTGCAGAATTATGAGAGTGTCTTTAAGTGACCTTGACCGACTTTGAAGCTTTATTTGTGATGGGACCAATAAAAGAATGTCACGTGATTGTGCGGCTGGCCTCTAAGACAGAATATGCGTATATTGTGCGGAGTGATCTCAGAACATTGGTAAAGATTTCAGAACGATTTTTTAAAGTTTTGGTATAAAAATACATTGCTCACCAAAACTTTAAACAGAGGGACTATGTAAACAAGAGACAATTCTCAGTGTAATCGTATTGTTTACCAACAATCAGTGAAAAAACACTCGGTAAACAATAACTATTCCATATCATTTTCGCTATCGATTGCTTTCCGGTGATACGCATGTGCAATATTTACAAAATGTGTCATGTGGCATAAGTCATTTGTCATGTTATCATATCAAACCGTGCTCTTATCTTTAAGCCGCTGACAAAGCTTGAGGACAATGTCACGTGGTATAAGACTCGTGGTCTTTCCTCAATGTCCTGCAATGTGTCCCTAATTTCAGTAGACCAATATTTGTGGTTTAGATTACGTTGGCCAGTTCTTAGATATTCTTCGAAAGACATTTTTGTCTTACGAATACAATTCATTTTTATCTACAGTAATTTAATTTTATTATCCTATTCCGCATAATATTCAATATTGAATAATAATGTAGAGTAACAACATTGAAGAACTATGAATATTACTTACACGTATGACTTAGTTTATGGAAAATGGTTTGCATAAACATAGATTTGCGATTTTTATTTCAAGAACTTACGACTGCAAAATGAACATTAAAAGAACTGTTTTAATTAATTGGAGAACATTGACTACAATACCATGAATTTATGCGAATAGTGCATCTACCTCGCAAAATATTGTGAATTAAAGCGTGCGCGCAGTTGATAAAAGTAAGTTTGGGATGCAAAGCAATTGTTCGATTTACAAGTCTGACACAACGATAGACCTACTTGTTTGAATATTTATAGAAAACAAATGTGAACTTATAAACGTTAATTCGATAATGCGTTACCTCTGTCCGGTATTGAATCAATGTTAACCAATCGTAACACCGTTTAGCCGTGTTCTCGCTTCTTGTTTAAAATCCTCGTCAGCTTGACGTGAAATGGATGGATAATTCGTCTTAATGTTTTTTTTTTCAAAAATTATCTTAAAATATAAGTATAATTACTTGAAACAATTCATAAATGTTTTGAATTTCATGTTGACGATGAATCGCAGAGTGAACTATAATTTATAAGGATTTATAAGAATTATCTAGCCCTTACCATGCAGTGTTAATATTTTTGTGAGATGTGAACGTGTGTGGTATTGCATTGCATTCAATACGTGCTGAATAACCCTTACCAAATACATGGTACAAGATGTCGTGTGCAGATTTTTTGTGTCTGTATAAAGTTCTTTGTTTGAAGTTGATTTTGAAAAGAACAGTCATCTATGGGAAAAACCACAGAATTCACAACCGACTCCGAACTTAGTTATGACAGGAGTTGGCAAGCCCCAGTGTGATACACATCTTCTGTTTTAGAAATTGTTCTATCATATATAACTATTTATTTAAACAGGCGGTTACTGGTAACGATATAGCTATGTAGCGTGCAAATTTGTTACAAAAATGTTTTAATAGATTGGCCGCTTGTAACAAATTTGCAAGATATAACAACACGTTTTAAGAAAGTGTCATTTTAACAAAGTGTCACGTTTTATAAAGTGTCACATTTTAACAAAGTGTCACGTTTTAACACATTGCTGTATATATAAGTACATCTACCTTACCACTATCAATAAAAAAGAAGGGTTGTCGTTGATATGCTTAGTGAACATATATCACAGAAAGAAGAAAAGAAGGAAAACAAGTGCAGAGGGAAGTGATGGTCAGTTGAAAGGATTCTTGTGTGAGAAAAAATTATATTTGTTTGCATTTGTATGATAAATGGTTGGTCGCTTAAAAGCATGGTGAAAAAACCAAACCGCGTAATCTTGCCCGAACCTCTCTCGAAACAAATATTGAGATTTTGTTCACATGTTTATAGATCATTAATGCTATTGAAAAAATGAAAATTTGAAAAGACTTCGGTACGAAAGTATAATGACGAACATCCATGTTAAATATGTAATGAGAAAAAAAAATCTTTTTTTTTTTCGAGAATTCGGGATCTAGTGTGCAGAAATCAAAGCGATTTCCTGTTAAAACTATTGTCTTTCAGTACATTGATATTCCAAACTTCGTTAGACGATACTCACTAGACACAGCAACTAGAGTGAGTTCGGAGAAAGATTATTTCACTCTAGATTTAAGATCGGAGTGAATAAAGTTTCACTCAAATAAGAGAATCTGCATCCTAGTCGTTCAAAGACTAACACAATAAAACAATACCAAACAAATCATTCAGTGCTTAAGTTTCAAAGTGAAGATTTCCATTGTTGTGTCCGTTGGGCATCGTCTACGGGAAGTGACGTCACATCTCGTCCTATCATCTGTAAATAACCATCGTAATTAACCTTGTTAACTATTGTATTATTTATGATGTATTTTAACGTGTGTAACATATGAAATCCACTTGTTAAATTGTGACTATCGACACTGGCTCGATCACGTGATATTCCGTTCAGCTCATTAAACATTTTATTCAATTTTTCTAATGTCGCTAACACATTTGCGTGGTTTTCATAAGCCCAATGCCTTAAGCATTTTAGTGCATTGCATTATGTATAACAACTGGAATATCACGAAATCGAGGTTACTTTGTGTCGTAAACTCTGTGGTGTTGTGACGACAACAACTTATTATATGACATCATTATTTCAAAGTGACAAAATATTTTATTGTGTCTTGCGTATCGGCACGCATAATTGTATTATGATTTGAAGTGATATCAGAAAAGGTTACTGATGTCAGTATGTTATGTTGACGTGGCATTTTTGCTAACGTAACTATTTATAGTAACGTCCTACATGTTATAGCGTTACAATTGTGAGATATCGTCATTAACTGACGTCATGAAGTGGACGACACGCCTGCAGTATCTGTGATTTTGTGTTAAGTGCTGAAGCTTTACAGGGAGAGTGTTTTGTTGATGTAAATACTGTATATTTTGATGATGTTAATAAAATCGACAACGACACAAATCCAGCGTTTGTTTCCTTCTCTAGATTATTGCTGCGTGGTCGGTTATTTTCGCAGGGACATTTTCGCTATTCCACGGTATATTAACGAAACGATTGCTAAAATTCATTCCTTAAAATTATGAGCCACTCATGTAGTGGATGTCATTTATATCCCAATCGCAAAATTTCCATTTATTAAGATATAATAGTATCGTTTTCAAGAATATCTTGAAAATTTTGACACATTAAAATTATTAGCAATATGTAATATGCCTACTGAATGGTTACAAAACGATATAAAATCGTCTTCTGTTTCCTCGGAACAACATCAAGTATATACCAAAATATCAACCTGAAATTCAGTAAAACTAGAGCAAAATATGAACAAAAAAGATTTACGCGGAGACTCCTGAAAAAGTGCAAGAAGAATAAGACCATGTGTTTCTGAAAAGAAAACATCATGTAAACGCAGGTTCATCCAAACAAGAACAAACCACTTGGTATCGTAATACTATTGAATAGCATTACGTCCAACTTCATCTCTCAAAAGGAAAAATCAAATGAAATTCACTTAATTTGCTGCACCTCCCGGATAGATTTTGACTTTTCTTTCGATCACTTTGGATTTTCCGCAGACGCCTCCTAAGCATCATAATTTAGGCCCTTAACATCTCTGACGAGCCCTAGAGGGACGAAACAGTTGTATGATGTAACATCACTGACGAGGCCTAGAGGGACGAAACAGTTGTATGATGTAACATCACTGAAGAGGCCTAGAGGGACGAAACAGTTGTATGATGTAACATCACTGAAGAGGCCTAGAGGGACGAAACAGTTGTATGATGTAACATCACTGACGAGTCCTAGAGGGACGAAACAGTTGTATGATGTAACATCCCTGACGAGTCCTAGAGGGACGAAACAGTTTATTAGTTTAAACATATTTTATTGCCGAAAGCAAATGGATTGGACACAAGTTATCACAACTTAGAGCCCTCTCCACAATAATATATACAATGAATGTGACAACAGCTATGTATAGTTACAAATCATTTTTAAATGTAAAATGTAGTAGGGAAAAAGGAAGGAAAGAAAAGATGGTAGAGGAAGAGAAGAAATATATTCAACAACCTGACGTAGTCAACGTTGTCATGTCTGGCACTATAACTGCACAGCACATCATTCCTTCTTACACAGTTCATTAAAACGCCATTCCTATATCCCATCTCGTTCTCTTCAAGGCTTTCAATTAAGCTTAACTAAAGTGCCAAGCAAACATTCCTCGTAATTAATTGATAACATTCAATATTTAAAAATTAATATAGTTACTAGTAGCTATTAGAGATACAGAAAAGAGAAGAAGGCAAGATCACCAATTCACAGAGTGAAGCCAGAATCTGTTGCTGGCCCGCATGTATGTTTGTACGATGTGAAAAATGTCTTCGTTTTCAGTAACGGCGAGTTAAGATTTTCCAGACAAAAGAGTTTCGAGATTAATTGGGTAATACGGACGCAAATTTACAAACATATTTGCTCTCAAAACAGTATAATTAGGACATTCAAAAAAATAATGATATGCATCTTCACAAAAATGTCCACAAGAACATGATGATGATTCTACTAAGTTTACACGGTACAAATCGTTATTTAACGCACTGCAGTTATATCTTAATTTAGTATGAATTATATTTAAACGACGTGGTCTGTAATTGCAAAAAATAGTAGATTTGTTTTGTCTTGGACTGATAGCTTTTCTAAATTTAGACACAGTTGGTAGATTTCTTATTTCATCGGGAAAATTGTTCCGGAGTTTAATAGTGTTAGGCAAGAAAGACAGTCTGGTATTGGTTAGTCTACAATTCGGTAATACATAATCATTGTTATTTCTTAATTCATACCTGTTTAAAATTTCTTCTATTTCGTCTGTTTTCTAATGATTCTCACCCCGTTTCGAAATATAATGTTTGCCTAGTAACCTAACTTGGTAGACCGGTCACAATTCTCGCTGCTTCTAATTGTAATTCTTCTAGTAAATCAGAATGAAATTTAGAACAACCACTCCAAACTTCACAAGAGTATTCAAGAACTGGCAGTATAAATAAGGTATAAATTTTAGATAGAGTTTTTCTATTTACTAAAAATTTTAATTGCCTTAAGGCATTGATCTTTTTTAATACTGACTGGTATATGAAGTCAACATGATTCCCCCACTTTGCATTAGCACTCAATAAAACTCCTAAGTGCCTGTGGCTTTCTGACATATTTAATCATGTTTCACCAAATTGTAAATGAATGGCGTTGTTTCGTAACGTGTTTGAGATAAAAATGACATTAGTTTTATTAGGATTAAATGTTACCAACCGCTTTTTGGACCAATCTATTATACGCTGCATATCAAAATTTGAAATTCGTTCTATTTCTAGTATAGAGGAAGAGACATAAGTCAATGAAGTATCGTCGGCAAACAAACGTGATACGCTTAATAATTCATCAGTTATATCATTGATGTATATTAGGAACAAAAGACGCCCTAAAATTGAACCTTGGGGAACTCCAGCTTTAATTGTTTGGTAGTTAGAAAAATGTTCACCTACAAATACTCTTTGTTGTCTTGATTTTAAATAATGTATTAACCAGTTCAGAATGTTTCCTGATATACCATAAGATTTAAGTTTTGATACTAGACCCATGTGCCAAACTCTGCCAAATGCTTTTGAAATATCACAAAAAGCAATGCATGTGTGTTTCTTTTCCTCAAGATTGAGACAAACGTTGTGGTGGATTTCAATGAGTTGGTGAACGATAGAGTGTGTAGGCATAAAACCAGTTTGCCTTGAATAAAATAACGAATTTGTTAACAAATAATTATAAATATGCTTAAAAACCACTCTTTCAAAAACCTTACCAACCGTAGATAACAATGCTATCGGTCTATAATTAGATGGCGAATGTTTTTCTTCTTTTTTTTTAAAGTGGCATAACGTTTGCCTTTTTCCACAAATTAGGATAAACACACTGTGTGAGAGACATATTGTATAATAGTGTTAAAGGTCTACACACAGTGTGAGCTGTATAACGTAACATATGATGACTGATCCCGTCTACACCAGATGCTTTACCTAATTTCAATATTTTGAGAATATCGATTACTTCATCTGTATAAAATAATTATGTTGCTAAAATTTGAAATTGTTTTAGGGGCTAGGTTCGGTACCTGAACTTCAGAATCGTCTAACTGACTTATTGAAATGAAATAATTATTTAGTAGTTCCGCTTTCTCAGTATCGTTATGTTTTACATTAACAGTATGTGGATCTATAAGAGGAGGTATTTCATTGGTTGCATTCTTTGATTTAATTAAATTTCTAAGTAATTTCCAATATGATTTAATAAAACTGTCAATGACGTCATCTAAATTTCCATAAAAATTTTTACGAGCGTGTTTTTTTCATGTTATTTACTCGATTTCTCGCTCTTTTAAAATTCAATATGTCATTCTCACGTTTGGTTAATCTAGCTTTTTTATGTAGTCTATTGCGGATTCTGATGTTTTTACGCAACTCCGAATTCATCCACGGTTTGTCGTTGGGTCGTATAGTGACAAGTTTAGATGGAATACTATCTTTTGCAAAGGATATAAATTGATCAGTAAAATTTAAACAAGCTTCCTCAATATCCCTAGATTCAAGAATCATATCTTCCCAGGAAAAGTTTTCTATTAATCTATTTAGTTTAGTAAAGTCAGCATGTTTATAACACCAAACCTGACGCTTATAAGACTTTGTTAATTGAAAATTTACCTCAATAGATGCTAAACATGCTTCATGATCACTAATGTCTCTAGTAATAGGCAATACTGATGATTCTATACATTTAATTGATTCAGATAGTGTGATTGGATCTAGAAGAGTAGCTCGGGTGTTTCCTATTCTAGTAGGTTGGGTAATAATGTTTTTTAAATTCAAATTATTAAGAATTTCAGAGAGTCTATGATACTGTGACATTGAAATTAAATCAACGTTGACATCTCCAACAATGATTAGGTTCGATGTAATATCTAATGTTTTTTCAATAGAGGCATGCATATGATCCCAAAAGGAATTTGCCGCATTAGGTGGTCTATAGATAGTACACAGGAAAATACAACTCGACGGCAATTCCAATTGAAGCCATATTAATTCACCATCCACGAATTCAATATAGTATCTTCTAGTTGCTTTAATTTGGTTAGAAACATAAACCATAACACCGCCTCCAGCAGAATTTCTATCTCCTCTAAAAGGCTCACTAAAACCTTGTATTTCTAATTCCTGGGAAGATATATTTCCGTCTAAATGAGTTTCCGATATCGAAATTATGTCATATTCACTTGCTATATCTTCTAAATACTTTAACTTATTTCTAATACTACGAATATTTAAGTGAAAAACTGATAATTCATGTATATTTGGTCCGGGATTGAGTTCAACATCTAACATATTAACAACAGGTTTAATAATACTAAACTATACACAGAATTATTAATAAAGATTAAGAAAACGTTACAAATAATCACCCCAAAAAAGATTAGAAACGGAACTAAGGACCGACGATACAGATAGCTTTACACTAAGATATACTTTCTTTGTAATCATGCAAACACCGTAAGATTTCACATAAAATAAACCGATCGCGATCCTATGGCACAGAAAACTGTTACCCATTGTCGAAATTCTTACGAATCACACGACCGCGATCATAAATAACGGTGCGTGCATAAGCAACAGATACCGCACGTGCAATCCATGAATAGGTGACGCGAGAAAGATTGAAACAGAGAGTAAAGACAAAAAGCAAAAAGAAGACAAACATATATACAGTGATACGTACAAAGAGATGAGAAGTAAGTATGTAAGGGAAAAAAAATCTACGGTTGCTATCAATATGTATTCCATCAGTTACAATTTCGTAAATAGCACAAATACTTTTACATAACACTTTACAATGACACAAAAAATAGGTTATGAAAAGGAAAGAGTGAA